CATATTATCGAGCGATCATTTCGTACATGTCATATACGTGTATTCTATGTGTAACCTCCCATCCTCCTACTCTGCATCATATTCCCTTCTGTGAGAAACTTCATTATCGTTCGCCTGACAACGGAATTCGTGATTGGGCTTTCGAAAACACCGATTCGGTAAACGATTTCGATCTAACTTAAGTTAATCAACGCCCTCTAGCGGTTACGACATCTCTGTTCTGTTCTGGAAAGCTAGGTCATTATCGGGAAACGTAGGTTTGGGCCAATATCCGCCCCAGGGCACTCGCAGATTGAGACGACAATCATGATCATGGAACGAACAACATATTGTCTGATGAAATGTACAGATTTGTTGAAATATCCTTTTATTACCTTGGCAGTTTATAGACTGGTGCTGTTTATTCCATGTTGCGAAGAACGTAGCAAAAAAAATTTGACTCTGCTTGAAAATTATTAGCGTATTTGGTTGCAGGAAAAGTTGTTATGTTTGAAGTTTTAAAGTTAAATTGTAGATATCAGAATAATTGCACAGTTTGGAAATAATAGCAAATTTAAATAATTTAATTCATAAAAATCAATTTCCAAGGATTTTGGGCATTTATAGATTTGATTATTTGCTGCATATTATTACAATTTTTTAAGCTTCACCAAACAGAAACCGTTACCATTCATTAAGAGAAAATCTTTTATGATAAGAATTTATTGTTTGCATGATAATAAGAATTTCAGATTAGAAACAAACCGTCATTATTTATTATTTCAGTGAAAATTGCTGCAGTAATATATTATTAAAAATTCGCAGTTTTTCTCTGGCTCTCTCGATATCCTTTTTAAAACAGAGTTGAAATATAATAAATATTTCTTAAAAATCTGATGTGTACACCACATGACTTCCTTCCATGGAATATTCAATTATACGCATTTTTTCCTGCATTTCATTTAAACTTATTGAATTGGATTAAATCTTCTTCGTCGATAGCGCATAAAGCACAACAGAATAAATGCACTCTTTAAAATTCATTGTATTTGTTTACCATAGCGACACTCTGGCATTAGGCTCACTTAACAGCGTCACATCTGATTAATTTATAACTCTAAAGGCGCAAAAATTATATCACCTGAAGAATTATCTAATCGTTGCCACAGGTTCTATTCAAATACTATAATAAATCTAAAACGATGTATAAAAGAAATTAGATAAATAAAAAGGAAATATTTGTTGCTGCGAAGCTTAGTTTTTTTGAATTGGCAACAAATCCACTATTCTGCTAAGTTTCAAATGTAAACAAATATGGCTGCTAAGGTAAAAATTTAGGCATTAGCGCACTTAAACAACTTTTAAATTGTTGATAATTCTACAAATATTGCATGCAGGTTAACTAAAGACATAAAATCCTTAAGCGGAAGATAGGAACAACATAGTTCAGTCATTTTTAAAGCAAAAAATGCGTAATTTACCAACACATAAGAAGAAAAAAAAAACAGAGCTCATGGAACCGAGTAACAGAGTAGGTATATTTATTTACTTTTGGTGCGGCCGATTGCCAACGAAAATTTCAGTAACAGGGGTCCAACCCGTAAAACTGACACAACATAGGAAGCCCATTGTCATCCAAAATAATGCAGTAGGTATCGGAGTTGAGCTTACCATGAATGGGGACCAACCCCACCAAGTCCCAGCATACCAGGAGAAAAACCCCCCGACCATAATTCCACCTCCGCCGAACTTGACTGTTGGCACAATGCAGTCTGGCAAGAGACGTTCTCCAGGTAGACGCCAAACCCAGACCCTGCCATCCGAACTGTAAATGGTGAACTTTGATTCGTCACTCCAAATAACCCGTTTCCACTGACTTACGGTCCAATTTCGATGTGCTTTGCACCACATTAACCGAGCAGCGCGGTTGGACTTTGTGATCAAAGGCTTATGGGCAGCAGCACGACCATGAAAACCAAGCAGATGTGCTCCCTTACGGATGGTATTCATTGAAACAATACAATTGGATGACTGTTGAAACTCCTCGCGGATGAGAATCCTCGGTTGGGTGAGTTCTTCCGAATTTCTCTGGACAGCACTCGTCGGCCTCTATCTCCCAGTTTCGTTGGTCTGCCGACTCGGGGCACATTCCGACAATCACCGCTCACCTTCCACTTCTTAATCACATAGGACACTCTCGATTTTGGGTACTTCAGATCGCTAGATATGTCCGTTAAGGATCGGCCACATTTGTGATACCCGATAATTATACCTTTCTCGAAATCAGAGAGCTCCGAACTGCAAGGCATCTTGCATGCGACTGAAGCCGATGCTGTTTCCTACACGATATATACCGGCGGAGTCCGTGACGTACCTTAGGACCATATATATCGTCATTTGCATAGGTGTCCAAATACTTATTGGTAGTCAGTGTATACAGAAGATATATAATGTTCTGATTCTAGTCAAAACGCACATTTATTTAATTTCCTATAAAATATTTTCGTGTTCTACCTGGGCCATGTCTGCTGACAATTTCTATTGTGTATCAATTTATATTAATGCTTAATTATTTGTCAATACTTTTACTATTTATCAATAAACTTTAAAGAAGCTTTTCTTTGGGCGATCGTTAAAATTTGACGTTAGTCCAGAAGGGAAAGTCTCGAAACGGCATTTTGCATTGAATGACTACAAACGGCTGAATCCCTTTTTAAATTGTTGCCACCAAATTTTATCGCCCTGTATTATATTTAAAGAAACCAAATAGTGCAGAATCTGCATGCATGCATGTATGTTTCTCGTATTATGAAAAAACAACGGTACATAAAGTCATCAAATTATGAATGACATAGTCCTCCATCTAAACATGATTACCTGGAAGCTAAAATTTACAATTTGGAATTTATTTTATTTTTAGCCCAAAGTGGCGTTATCACAAATGCTTTCGAAACGTGTTTGTGTGTGTAAATGAAAAAATCTGATACGGATACCACATGACTTCTTTATGCGGCCTATTAAATTATGCGCATTTTCCACAACATTTCATTTAAACTTATTTCCTCGAATTTCATTTAAGATATATTTCTCATTCAATTAATGCAGTTTTCGTTTCGCGGCAAGACAAAAATACATAAAACCTCAAAATATCTTCGTTAAAAATTAAAAAATATAGAAAAACATAAAACACCAAATTCAGTTAAAACAGTTAAAAAAAATTACAGTTAAATTTAGAGTTTCTACGCAAAAACAAGCAAATTGACTGGCGGGCAAAAGGGCAGATTTTTCAGTGCACAAAACGGAAAGTTATTTTTGGTCCCACTCGTCAAAAAGGTGCAGAAACTGACTTAATTCGCTCCTCTGCTAAGTTTGCAATGTAAACAAATCTGACTGCTAAATTAGGCTAATCCTTTTTACAACCCGTTTTGAGAAAGAGTCCTTTATTCTGACCTTATGTACAGATGTCATGCAAAACCATCGTTAAATTGCATTCGATAGCGGTCAAAATGGTATTTTCGTTGAAATATAACACCCGAAAATTTTCGCGGTTACAATACTTGCTTTATTTCGTACGAGGAAGTAAAAATGCCCGTTTGGACGTAATATAAAATCTGAAAACTTTCAGATATTATTGTTTTTTTTTATTGCTTTTAGTACCTTTTTTATGATCAATGAAAATTAAAATCGTCTGATCTCTAAATCCTGCTATCATAGAAGGCACGATATCACGAAGGCAAAAACTACGCGATATCTTAAAAGTTCGAAATATTTTTGAAAAATGCTTGACTTCGGCACATTATATTCAAAATTTGAAAAATTATGTTTCTGTCAATTCAACGATGTAAAGTTAAAGTTTCTGTGATTATAAGCTCGACCGTTTAACAATAAGTACATGTGAGAAAAATTCAATACTAAATTAAAAAAAAGAAACATGTAACCTTGAAGAAAAAGACTTCCTTTAGAAGTAATTGTATTAGAAATATATGTGCATGAAAAATTTCAATTCCTAGACTATATGATCTGTAAAACAGACGATCGAGAAGGATAATTTATTTCGAGATTTAATGCCAATTAAAGAGAGATGGAAGTTAATTAAAATCAACTAAAAATTAAAAGTACACAGCAAGAAACATACAATGTACTACGTTAACAGTTTACGCATGTTTCTGTAGATATTCTATAATTACAATTAAATTTTGATTTTCATTGGGAAAATAACATAATGATGCGATAATTATAGAGAAATCCTATCGTAGTAGCACACGGTATATGGTGCTATAATGCTAGAAAGACCTTATATAATTTATGCTAATGGTTACATTAATAAGATATGCTTTAAAATAATTATTAGATGTATAGGATACTTTCAAATAGCTCAATATAGTATATTTATAAGCAATATAATACTTATACATTACAGAAAATAAATGAAAGAAATCTTATGACGTTGGGATATTAAAAGCAGGTTTGTATTTTTCGTTTCTTCTTGTTACAGAAATGAAAAGAAATTTTGAAGAATCAAATATTTCTTCTTTTCCTGAAAATGAGAATTTCAAATTTACCTAAAATTTATACAGTAAAATTCATCGTCCAAATGTTCTCATATTCTAGATGTAGAATATAACATTGATTTCAGATTTCTTTTTAAGCAAAAGTCATTCCGAAGGTTCATAAATTTTTCAAATATTTGGCATTGCATAATAGTGAAAAATTCCGTTTTTATTATACTTAACTTCCTTATGCTAACGCTGCATACATCCTGGGCATCTCTTGCCCCAAATTAAAAATGAGTTGGAGAACTTGAAATCATTTAGTCATTTATGAAAGATATTGTACGTACACTGTGATATCTCAGTGCGAATAAGTAACGTACTCCGAGAAGAAAAAAAGAGAAGTTTTATGCTTGAACCTTGTGTGAATTCCGTATTTATTTACCAGATTAAATAGTCTTGTACTGTATGAATAATTAGCACACATGAGAAATTATTATCAACAGACAGAAATAGAATGAGATATCTTACCTAAAACTGCAGTATGAAGAGCTCCGAATATTGGATAATGAACAAGCAACACTGTAAACGATATCATCTGAAAATAGAGAAAATGGTGTGAAAAAGAAATTATTTTTCAACTAAATAGAAGTTATAAATTATTGCATTAATTCATGCGATTATAAAATTTATACATTTTATCTTTTTATCAAAACACATGCATATTCTAAAAATTTGCAACTTCTCTCATTTCAAAGCATCAGGCTAATAGTTACACACAGAAAAGCATCAGGCTAATAGTTTTTTTAATTAGTTGGCAAAATCAGCGCGTTTGGTTTGGTTTAGATCAGCGGTCGCCAACCGGTGGTCCACGACAACTTACAGAAAAATTGGGGCATTATTTATATTTTTATGAAGATTCAGTTTATAAATTGACGAGTAACAAAACTTATTATGGAATATGGATTATACTTTTTTTAATTTTAGCTACTACTTTCAGCGAAATTTCTTCTGAATTTAGCGACATTTTAGCTACTTTTGCAGGTGTATCTAGCGACATTTGAATGTGAGAGTTGGCATCCATGGATATGCTGCTCTTATCAATAATAGCGCGAACTGGAATTCTTTTTCGTTTTGAATTACAAACGTATGCTATTGTAGTCGTTAATAACACAGTTTTTCTCCGTGTCAATAGGCAACTTGATGGATTTTTGTGAGAACCATCTGCATTCTTGTATATAATTGCATCACTGGAAGTTTCCGTTTTTGGTTTTGTCTAACTGTTGATCGATGGCGCCATTGCTGAGTAAGCGATGATTATTATGTTTACAATAATTAAAAATTGGCGGCATAACACTTTCTGTTTATTAATATTGTTTTGCGTTTGCTGGTTTGTTCTTGCTTTTCGTGAAGTTCCTTTTCCGTGATGGAAAAGTGAATCCGTGATGAAGCTTATTGTACAGAAAGCTCTTCTGTGATGAAGCTTTCTGTACAATAAGGTAAGATTTTTGTACTTTTCATCTAATTTTTCAATCTGAACAAAATATGTGTATTAGTGAGATGGTAATAGTGTTTTAATTGTTACTCATGATCAGGCGCGTAGCCCTGAATTTCCATAAAGGCATGCTGCTGAACACCAAATGTTTCGAAAATTATATTAAGAAATGAAAACTAGAATTACATGTATTGGAAAGTTGAATATTGTTTGTGCGCATTAATATATTGTTTTTAAAATCGAATTTAAGTTTTTTTTAAATTCATATTATTGATCCGCCAAATATAAAATTATATATGTAATGGTCCGTGAAGTTCTGAGGGTTGACGACCGCTGGTTTAGATTATCATGCCAAAGCACGGGCGGCTTTTTCGGGCTATTTAATCTAAGGGAGGGATGCCTTAGTAAAGTACTTTTTAAAATAAGCTGGTCTTGTTCTGTTTGGGAGTACTCTAGTAGAAAAAAATTGCGAACAGCCCAAAACTGTGTTCTGCCCAGAACTCACCATGGTATGTGAGAAACTCACCATGGTATGTGAGAAATAGCAAAATACATGTATAACTGCAAACTGAACAACAATTAAGGTTACTACTAATTGTTCAGTTTGCAGTTATTACTATGAGGTTTCCAAAAAACTTTTATGATAAGCAAAAACTTATTGACAATCTTGCTATCAGAACTTGTGACTATTATGTTAAAGATTCCATGTACAGCAAAAGGCCAATATCAGTTCTCAATATACAAAAGGAATGGTTTCTACATTTATTTCCCTAAATCTGTAGTTCTACCTTATTTACATTTGATTTTCTTTGACTTTTATCTGGATTTTTTTTGTTTTATATAGTAACCTCGTCTTATTTTTGTACGTGCTCCCGTACATATTTTTCATCATACAACAAAGATTCGTTCTTGCCTATTACTCTATTTTCATACCATATTTTCAGGACATGCTCAAACATATTTTGCTATAATTTTGCAGTTTTTTTGCGCTACTTGCTTCGACCTGTAGGGGTTGGACTGATAAAGATACAGATTGCTTTATATTGTTTTTCTAATAATATTTTAAAATTTTTATTTTTGTCTTTGTCAGTTCAGAAACAGATCGTTTTATTTATTTGCTTCTTTTGTTGCTCGATCCCCCTGATAATGATGCGATAATTTTTAAAGTTGTTTTTAAAATTTTATTTGGCATTTTTGCTATTATTTGTTGCTGCTATCAGGTCAGAATTGGATTAAATTTTGAACTACTATTTTTACTTTGTATTTATTTATTTTTAAAAGATACTTTTACTTTATTTTGCATATATATTTATGTAAAATATAAAACAGCTAATATGCAAAATATAAAATCTAGCTTTGAAATAATAAATTAAGAGCCCTTTAACTTCCCTTCCATTCTAAAAATAACAGCAATAAATTTGTCTCCCTGCAGTTCTGATGCGCTCTTACCGATGAAATAGAAACCCAAAATCCTGTACATTGTCATGTGATCTGAAATGGAATTTGGTATAAAAAGGTCAATTGCGTCACGTACCATGCGCCTTTTGGCAAAATTATGATACAAACAGAGACACCACATCTTTGTGGTATTCTGGCAATACTAGACTCAGTCAGTCAACTCTTTCTCTTACTTCGTGTCGCTGCTTTGCACTGCCGCCAGCCTCGTAGTTTATTTTTCTAAATTCGTCAATTGTTTAAGATGTAAGCTGTTAAAAAATTGGGATGTGTATAGCGCACCCACAGTGATAATGTAAATTATCCAAGAATAAGATTATGTGTGGAATTTACCGTTATGTGTGTTCTCCGAGTGTCATCTTGGTAACTACGCAGCAAAGTCTACAAGTTATGATGCAGTCCCAAGCCGTTGCAGCTATCACCAAGTCATCTTATTTCATATAATAACGTAGTCTTTTCACAATATATATCACAATATATACATATGTGTGTGTGTGTATTTATATACGATTAGTGCAGCTGATTGCAACGAAAAAAGGGAGATGCACAGCCCCATATACAAAATTTCAATGTTCTACGGCTACTCGTTCTTGAGTTATGCGAGGTACATACATACGTACGCACAGACGTCAAGAAACAACAAATCTCATCTGTATCAATTTCAAATCCATTTTACTATCCGTTTCGGAAAACATATGCAGATGTCACGTAGAAATATCGTTCAAATGGATTCGAGAACGGACAAAATGGATATTTCCGTTGAAATATGAAACCTGAAATTTTTCTCCGTTACAGTACTTCCTTTACTTCGTACAAGGAAGTAATAAGTACTGAGAGCAGTTTGATTTACACACATTCATCCATCAAAAGAACGATTATACAATTAAATCCTCCTGCGTATTAACTGGACTTAACTTCTCGTAATAGCTCAGTTGTTTCTAAAATAAAAAGGTTGCATTGAAGGTACAAAATGCTTTTCTAATGCAGCTGCTATCCGATAGAATTCGTACCAGTACTCTAAAATATTTCCTAAAAGTCAGCTTCAGGTGGCCTTAAGCAGTGGGAACGCCGTTTAGGTCAGCGCATAATGCACAAAATGCACAAAAGAAGTAGTTTTAAAGGCGAGGGGTCATACATATTTGTGTATACTGGTCATACATATTTTGTATACTTTTGATGGTGTAAGTATACCTTTTAGATATGGATTTCGGAATTAAATTGTTATAAGAACTTTGGTTCAATGTCAACAAAGATTATCAAAAAACAAAAACTTTTGCGTCTAAATGAACGCGTTTACTGCAGTACTAGAAAGCCCGGCGCTCATACAAAATGACCACTGTTCTAGATATTATAAATTGTAATTAAAATGATTTGTGCAAAGGTGTCTGCTAATTCAAAATGAATTACACAGGGCAGGAAGCGAGGACGTCCCTTTGCTTATTGCCCCACGGGGTTTCCCCCTTCTACCTGCTTACTGCTTAAAGTAGAGTGTAATGAAGGAAACTACTGGTGGTACATTTCTTAAGAGCCACCGCTAGCTCAATAAATAAAGGTGATTTAAATAATAAAATGTTAATTCACATGTCAAAAACTTCATCCCAATGTCTAGTACAGTCACGCAAGAAACCAATAAACTATCGGCGACAAACAGACACTTAAGCCGCATATAATAAAGATATTTATTTATTTCATTTAATTTGTTTTTTCGTCGTTGCCGGTTGCATATTTTCGAATTCTATTATATAGAGATGTTAAATTATTTATTAAATGTTAAATTCACGTGCTCTTGTATTTTTAATTTTCCGGCTTAGCTTCCTCATAATATTCGTCACGAACTGCACTGGACGGGGAATAAAACAATTTATAGTTACGTAAGCAACCAATAAACTATCGGCGAGAATCACGTAAGCCGCATATATATAATGTCTTTATTATTCTACGCAGTTTAACTATAATGATATCTACTTTCATCAGGTTATTCATATAACCGACTACAAAGGTCACGGTCTATCTCTCTTGCATTCGCTTTAGATACTCTCGGACTAAGATGAAGTCATCATCATCTCTGGAATCCAGACATATCTTTCGAAGTTGTCAACGTCCGCTCACATATTTCCGGCTAATAAAAATGAAAAATGACTCCGCATCCGGAAATTGGTTTTTCGTGTTTCTGGGATTATTATTTACGAGATGTAAGAAAGAAAAATTTTCTAGATGAAAATATTCTGGTATGCACCATTTATTTCAACTCTATCTGGAGCGGAGAGAGAAAAGGCAAGTTCAACAAAGCTTCTAATATTTTCCTTCAAAAGAGAATTTTAGAAATTCATTTTTGTATTTTAATATCATTTGGGAATAATTATGCTGAAATTTTCTAATATTTCACAAAAGGTTCAAAATAAACGAAATTTGAGCTAAAAATTAAATTTTTTTTTGAAATGAATGATACTTATGATATGTAGTTATTTTATCATGCAGATCATGCGGTTCATAAACTTACATTTTTCTAAAACCTCTTCGATTGATGTATTACACTTCTTAATTAATATTTAGCCTAAAGGAGTAATTTGCCCAAAAGGGCTACTAATTTTATTTTGGCATTTTGCGTTGAATCACTATAACACTTCTTAAATTGTTGCCCCCAAATA